GACACTTTGTGCAACATGTAGGAGTGTGACTTCATCCTCTTGAGGCAATTCCATGGGGTCTTGCAGCATTGCCGCCGTAGACGGAGGCGCATCTTCTTGGAGTGGTGCTTCCGGAATGATGACACGAATGCCAAGACCATCATGTACCCGTACATCATCATCATGAGGAAGAAGTCTTTCACCAATCCATAGCTGGCATTCATTACCTTGTGGACATCTGGATCTCGCTCCCGTGGCATCAATGAAGACATCTGGTGATGTCAAGAGTGCCGTTGATAGGGCTGTTTGAGAATTTCGCAGATGCGATTGTCCATCTTCATAGGTGGAGATAACACATGCCGCACGACCAGGTTGTGGATGTTGAGTGACAACAACGGTTGCCACAGTCCCTTGGTATACCGTCATGGGCAGGTCAGGGCTGACAATGAAAATCTCCAATTGGGCTTGGTTGTCGATGAAGTCTTCCCACATGAAGCGGACTGATGCTTCCCAAGTTTCATGGTCAGTGTCAAACCGGAGAGGACGTGTCACAGTGTTGCGGGTCACTGTGGTATGTGATATGTAGTGAGACGTCACATACACAATTGGTCCTTCTTCTTGAAACTCAGTTTCACCATGGGCTCTCAGCAAATCCCATAGGTCATGTTGCCAAATGGGTTGTTCAACTCGAGGAGGTCGGCTGAAGTCATTGATGCTGCTGCGATCACTACTCGGTGAGTCGCTTCCAGACTGGAAATAGGAGAAGGGTTCATTCATGCTCATTGCTCGAGGCCCACGTAGACAAGAGTCAGCGCTGGAGATACACAGATCTGAATTGAAGATGGGATCAACATCAGCGGACTCAATCATCTTGTGAGTTGGTTGGAGTAAAGTTGTGGAAACTTGAAATCCAGAAAAGGCCTCAGCTTCCTCACTCATATTCTCTTGAAAAGATGTTGGACTTGCACTGGTACAGAGGAAGCCATCCACACTGTCACCAATGAGAACATGCAAGAAATCACCGTCTTGTAGGTGGAGCGGGCAAATTTGGTGTGCTTCAACAGGGATATTGTTGTGCCACAAGCGACTTCGATCTGGGTGGGCCACAAGGAGAGATTCAAGTCCAAGCAAGCGAAATACTGAGAGCCTGTTGATAGTCGCTGGAAGCCATCTGGAAAATCTTTTGAAGGCTCCAGGAAGGACCTCGTTCGGCTCAAAGATCTCGAGATCGATCACAACCAAACGCAAGAAGGAAGATGGTCGTGGCTCCATATCAGTTTGCACCAAAATACACTCCAATCGTTGTTGAACCAGATCCGCAGGACGATGTCGTACATGAAAAGCCCCATAAAGATCTCGTTGTCCTGGGGCTTCATTGCCATTGCCAATGATTGTGCAAATTCTTTGAACTAATTGCTCACCATCATCCCAAGGGAGCCTAGCTGAGAACATGCGTCCATCCAACAAAATCAACACAGTTTGTCTCCAATCACGGGAACGGGTGGTCGACGAACTGGTACAAGAAGAAGAGGAAGACAATGACGTAGAAGAGCCTGCAGACGACATTGGCCTCTGAGGTTGTGATGGGCGCCTCGCCATGAAAGAAATTGCATCCTGCTCATCTGGATTTGAAAAAGTGGAACGAAGACCCCAAGGCTTGTCCATGAAGTCCTGCAATGCAGAGTGTGCAATGGTAGTGGGTCGAAGGTCAAAGCCACTGTCTTCACCAATCAAAACTGTAATGTCATTGTTGAAGCGGACAGTGCAGCGGTTGGTTCGACGCCTCAAAGTCATGGAAATAGTGTCAACTCGTAGCCGTCCTGAAACACCCAATTCAGAAGCTAGTGTTGACGCATGTTCCTGTGCTTGCCACTCACTGAGAAAGTCTCGTTCAGATAGAACTGAGTGCGACCAGTGGAGCCGTGCAGCTTCTGGGCTAGTGAATAGCCTGGCAGAGAGCCCTTGGTGAGTATACATGTCTGTCATACAGCACCGGGCTTGCCAAAAGGCGGCCCAGGTGAGGAAGTACCTCCATCGGGAGCAGACGTTCTTGGACGCTTGACACGCTGCTCCAGCTGATCTGCCGATGAAGAAAGTTCCTCGAGGCTCGTCACGATTGAATCCATACCCTGGTGGATACGTTGGACACTCTCGTTGTGAGGGTCTTCCATCACGTCGTCCACTCCATCGATGTCTGCCTCCTCGTCGGAGATGGTGACTGTGCCGTCCTTGCCACTCTGCTCTTTCTTGGACGCCAGATCGAAGGTTCGCTGAGCCTGCTTGACAGCCTGCTTTGCTGCCAGGACACCTTGCTGGTGTGCTGTCTCCGATGCATGAAAGCTTGCGGAGAACTCTCTCCACTTCACAACAGACTGCTGCAAAAACAGTTTCCACTGTGACAGCAGCTGGGCTCTCGCATTCTCGGCTTCCAGCAATTCTTGTTTCGCATCCCCCAGCGCTCGAACTGCCTGGGAAAGCGTCTTGATGCTGTTCTTCTCGTCCTGCTTCTGCATCTCGTGAGCAATGGACTGGAGATGTGGTGGAAGGTTGTCCTCCTCCTTCTTCATCTCTCGAAGCAGCCGATTTAGCTTCTGTTGGGCAGGTCCATCTTGCCGATATGTCGTGGCTGGTTCTGGTGTCAAAGAGGAACTGGTTGGGGTTGTCTGCATTGGCATCATCTGTCCCAAAGGACCCCATGGCATTGCCGGAACTGCATGGACCATCGAATTTGGTGGCATCATTGGAGGCGGTGGTACAACACCTTTGCCTGCACCCTTGTCGTTCACAGGTGGTGGCAGAGGAGGCTGCATCATAGGCTGTGGATATTGGGGCATCATGTTCGGGAAGGGCATGAAGGGTGCCATCGGAGCCTGTGCAAAACCTTGCTCCTGCCCTTTGCCACGTCCTTTGCCATGAGGTTGAAAATCTCCATCCTGCCATGAATTGCTGCCTCTGTTGTTTTTCCTGCCTCGATTTGAAGATCGCCTCGTACGGGAGCGCGGACTCCACGAGCTCGACTGGTGACTCTCCCATTGCTGCCCATCCAAAGGTGGTGGTCTGCCAGCTTGCTGATTGTACGCTTGATTGCGGTGATCGGGCGGAGTGAAGGATTGGTCGTAGCAGTTGCTCCACTCCTGACCGCATTTCCAGCATCGGGGAAACGTCCCCTTCATCACCACATGACAAGTCGCACATCTCCACGATGGTTGCTTTTGCGCCATGGCGACTTGTGAGGCTGCAAGAAGTCGACGCAAAAACAGGGGATCTTTCGAATGATGCCTGTTGAGCGTATCGTGGATCTTGAGCAGCTGTGAAGCCGACAGGCGTTGAACTCCAAGTCGGTGCAAGTACCAACTCAACCTGGCTTTCGCTCGTTGTCGTCTCGCTGCTCTGCGAGATGATATCGAAGCCGTCCTCCTTTGCGTAGATGTAGTGGTCCTTGTTCAACAGGATCACCAAGACAAACACAAGGAAAAAGACCATCCACAGGGATGAAGAATACCTTGAAGTAGTCCACCAGCAGAGGGAGAAGGCTATAGTGCAACCCGGGATTGATGACGGTGCCGGGACACCAGCGCAGGTGATGCCAATTGGCAGAGCACAGATGCAAGTCGCCAGAAACCAGGGCGTGCCAGATCAGTTTCGGACGCTTGATCGAAGGCCAGCGCAAATGGCCCGCGGGGAAACACCGGAACACCCCGCTTAGGCAACGACAGAAAGGGCAATTGATCGGGGGCCCTTGAACTGTAATGCCTTATTCATATGCATATATATATACATATATATATATATGTATATATATGTATATATATATACATATATATATTTCAATATTCATCTATATTCATCTATAACTACCGTACTCATGGCTTTTTACAGCAACAAACATTCCACTGGGGGGCCAATTCTATGCAATTCTTATGTACAATATGGTACAATCCCCAAATCTATGGTTAAGTTAACCCCATGACATCCCCAATTTTATCAGGTGACTATCCCCTGGCCCAAATCAATGTCATGGGACGGCTTATGCATATCTCGTGAAAGGCTTTCTAGATTTTCTTGGGCCAGTGAATTTCCCAAATGATACAAGTGGTCCTCATCCCCAACTGCCCAACTGTAAAAACACCCACGTCACAGCTAAAAGCACCTATGGACCTATGTTCTCCCCTTGTACCAATCATTTACCTACAATAAGTTGAGGTATCCCCAGACTAATGGACTATCCCACTTCTTAGGTACCCCATAGGTTCATTATTGTTTACCCCATGAAACCCAAACTAACGATGGATTGAATGGTTGCAATAGTTACCATCCCCAAAGTTGTAGCATCAAAGATAGCAACCATTGATAATAGTACTGTAACTTTTTGGTAGCAATGCCACTAATAATTTAGTGCTAGTAACTTACTAACTAGTAATAATGTGTCTAATAGTCCAGTTGATAGTATCTCCATTGCTATCATATAATGGTTCCTAGTGGCTAATATTAGCTTCTAATATAGATGACTATCCCCAAACTAATGCTTACTAATGGTTTGAAACGAATAGTAATAGTGGTTAATTATTATATGGTTAATTACTATTATTCATTATTATGGTTCATAAAATAACTACTTTTAGTATCACCAACCTACTATTCATGGTTACTAATGGTTCATATTAACTTCTAATATAGATGACTATCCCCAAACTATTTTTTTCCAATAGTCCAGTTGATAGTATCGCCCAGTACTATTCATGGTTCCTAATGTCTAATCTTAGCTTCTAATGTAGATGACTCTTAGTATCACCGTTTATGCCCAATTAAATCATGTTGGTTCATGACCCAATGCTTCCTAACATTGGTTCCTATTAACTAAATCATCTTAGTATCCCACATTAGTATCACATGTATCACTAATAACCCATTAGTATCACATTAGGAACCATTAATATTAGTTTCCCACATTTCCGAATATTAATGGTTCCAAATGCTTCATAACCCACGGGGAAGAAACGCGAAGAAGTTCGCCGGGCCACAGATCCGCCGCGCCGAGTGCACCAGGAAGTCCAGGCCATGGACCTCCTCGTCCAAGGCCTCGCGGTCCACCTTCAGACGTTCAGCTGGATTTCGATAGGGAAAAAATGGCAAAATATGGGGTGAAACAGGCAAGACTCCTGGAGATATTTGGGATATATATAATATATATATATACATATTTAGATATATATACATATCTATATATATATATTGAAATGATTGAAAAAAATGGATTAAATGGATGAAAGAGGTAAAGTAAAAAGGAGTTTGCGAAATCAATATCGGGACTTGAGTAGATTTTGGGAGGTCGAAAGAGAAAACTCTGGAGGTACAGTGCCTGTGGAACTAATAATACTACAATAAAAGTTCAACTTTTAACTAGTGAAATCGCGGATTTGAGCACTTAGATAGGATCAAGGAAGCGAATTTGGGATGATTTCACCAATGAAGGTTTTCAGCAGTAAACATAGGAGATCTAGGCAATCAAAAATAAGGTCTTGGACCAAAAGTTGGCTTCGGGTTTGTTCAAAATCGTTTGAGAAATAACCATTAAGCGCCAGGGGTCACTCAACCAACAAAAACCTCGCACTTAAACATGCTTCAATATATAAATTGGATATGTGGGCATGGCTCAAAATTCAAAAATCATGTTGGTTTATGACCAAAAAGGGCCCTTTCCTTGACAATTGACCGATTGCTACATCCTATGTCATTTTTGTAACTTTGTTGGCAAATAAATCTGCAATACAATTCCAACTGCATCCCACTTCAAGCTCCCAAAATGCATGCAACGACTTCCTTAAATCCTTAAATTTCAACCGCACCGTGTGCAGATTCTCTCGGGTCATCCAATTGCGCCCCAGTTCCCTCTGGTGACTCACAGTCGAACTGGAAGCCATCGCCCATTTTGTTCGAGGATTTAATAGACATGGTGATTTTCAATAGCTGTGTTTAATTACTAGGTACCTGGCAGCTTTTGTGAAGGGCTAGTGTCCTCACTAGCTCAGAGTTCGGCGTAGAATATGCAGAAGTACACTCATCCACTCCGCAAAACTGCACCATGTTATTGTGGTTAGTGATCGTTTCATGCCTGCAAAAAAAGGAAAGAAAATGGTGTTCCAGGATGTTACAAATGATATCTGGAGATTTCCAAAAGTCATCCCGGTACCTCCAAATCATCCCATCAGACCATGACTTGGGCGCCTCATCCGCATCCACCAAGGCACGCAGGGTGCTGCACTTGGCCTGGATCCCAGCTAAGGCCATCAAATCATGGGACGCGGCCCAGCCAAACAGCACTGGGTACTGGGTTGGGGGAGGCCGGGGAGGCATTGAATCGCCTGGTTCCAGTGGTTCAACAGCGTAGTGAGGCAATCTATCAAGAAGCCTTTCATTCACAGGAACAGCCATCGCTACCATGACCAGTGAAAAACATAACAAGGGCGGTGAAAGAAAAGGGCGCACTCTACGAAGTTGGGGACAAAATTGGATCGACTTGAAATCAAAAGCTTGATCTAGAAATCAACAGAAACCCGGAGTCCCTGTCCCTGATCAAAATCTATCCCATCCAGCGACTCCTATCCCCCATCCACCGGAGGCCTGAAGTTTGGTCACTGACCCCCTGCCATCAGGGATCACGGTAAACCAAGGCATCACCGGCCAAGCTTGGCATATTGCCACCCAACACCTGTTATTTAAGTGTGAATGACTCTTTTGAATCCCAAAAATCCATGAGTTTTTGTTCCTTGTTGAGATAAGTTCAACTTGGTTATTATTCAAAATTAACCATAAAATTCTATGCATGTCCTTACAAAGAATGACTTTGGAGGCGTTCCATGTTTTTGTTGCCCAAAGATCCACAAAAAAAGTTCTACCCACGCCCTAAAAAATAGAAAAACATATTGATAAAGAAAAAACTCAACTTTGGCAGCCAATCTTTTTGAAGCGCCCAGGCCGCAAAGATTTCCGTCCCCAAATCGTTGTCCACTTTCCACGCCTGAGTCGGCTGCACTCCTCTTCAGAGGGTTGCTTCGCCTTGGCACAATCAGAGGATTTGGGCCAATTTCAACTCCCAGTAAATCCAGATAGATATGAAGAAAAAACCATGTTTCCCTAAAATAGTCTATGAAGAGTGCAGAAAATCCATATTTATCTCGATCCGCTGGAGGGGTTTTTAATTTACATACGGCAAACATCGCAAGGAAACGATGCCAGGCCACCAAGCCTAGCACCAAGACCCAGCCAGCCGTGGGACTCTGTCCATCCTCCACAATCCCCGGACCGGACTCCCAAAAATTGGCATTTCCAGCGAAAAAAAATCACAAACACCAATTTTGCCAATTGCGGACATGTTGATGCGCAATTTTACCCTGATGGAATTATTCCTGGGTAGATGGTGTTAAGCACCCACGAAATGGCGACTGGCAGAATGCTACAAGTACAAGTGTGCTGTTGAAGGTCGATGTTGCCAGCTGCGTTCAACATCAATGTGCTTGTTGGAATGTGTCTTTAATGCCTTTAGCATGTGTACATGGACATATGAGAGAGTTAAATTCAAGTTGTTTCTGCGTTCAATATGTACACATTGTGCACTGCAGTATCCGTTTACATCACCCTCCACACTTCATATTTGTTTAAAGATATTGTTGATTCCACATATCGACCTTTATAATATTTAGTTAACGGACGCTCGCCCCCGGTTCGTTGTGACAGTTTCGTGGAGGCTGGTCGTCTGACGATTCTGTGGGGGCACTTGTGTGCCCAATATCATGTGCAATAGAGACCTTTGGTGACCTTGAATATACTGCAATTGAAAATGTGCGTATATCAATATATATATATATGTATATATATACACACACAGAATCACATATAATTACATATAATTACATATTTTTTTTCCAAGTGCAGACTCACAAAAAGTCTGTGCACCGAACCTAAGCCAGTATCAGTGTTCAAAAAACAACCAGTTCAAAGAGAAGGCTCAGGAGAACGAATTGGACGAACAGCAGAGCTAACTACGGGCTAGCCTTCCTCGTGACAATGAGCCGCAGGTAGTATAGAAGACGGGTGTGGATAAAAATAGTAGGTAATTTACAGTGCAAATAAAGAAACAGTCAAAGGACAAGAACTGTATATTCGATAGTTGAAACGAGTCACCATCAGAGTTTTTGACCTATCTTTCAATATTGTTTATGTTTGTGTCTTGAAATATCCTGCATCCATGAAATGAGTGCTGGGAATTGGTCCACACCAACTGCGCACACGAACAGCCACAACTCCTATCCCGGCCTCATCCGAAGACCTGGCTGTGAGTTTTAACTGCAACCCTTTTGGGGTGTGGTTTGCAAAACCTCGCTGAGACTAAGATTTAAAAAAATAAAACTACTCAAATATCTACGCGATGTTCTGAAATTGCAAAACACAAACCCCATTAAGAAAAACAACAGTTTTGAACTTGAATTTGGTGCTGTAGTGCTCCAGTGTGCCAACAAGATGTTTTCATATGTCAATGTTTTTTCCTCGTATTTACGAAACCACACTCAAAACCGGTGATACAACAAATCATAGCCTGGTCAATGAAGGAACGCGGCCGTTCACCAAGAAAAAAACAAAAGTGTTTCAATGCAGTTCCTTTGCATTGCGCCGTGAACTTTGCACACACATCTTCCACCGCCCCTTCGGCATTGTCGGTTGTCTTTTGCAGCCCTATCATACTTAGGACGAACAGTGAAAACCAAAAAGGTGCCCGTGCTTGCGAATTTGCATTCAGTTGTAACAAAAAGATGCTAAGATTTGCATGAAAGCACTTGTGGGTTAGCCATTTGAGCATCATATGATGCTGATATCTTGCAAAGCTATCCACATTTAAGCCTCTTCGCAATATCCTTGAAAGGATTAGGACTGCATGACGGCTCAAATCATAGACCGCTTCCCACTCATTTTAGGTTTCGCCAGCATGAAAGCAAAGGACTGCTGGAACGGACACCCAAACAGGCCATTCCCACGGCCCGGACACTGCAAGAAGGGGCTCCTGGCCGGTTGGCCGCTTGGAATTGGTTTGTCTGAAAAGTGGGTACCCCAAAATCGGTGGAAAACCTCCTTTTTGGGCCATGATTTGGAAAAAAAAACATTTTGGACGAACCTGGTTTCGGAAAATTCCTGGCAATCATTTATTGTTGTTCCTTCCAGATTAGAATTTCCAGATGTTAAACCCATTGTGATACAGTGATTGTTGTTATCCCCTTATATCTGGTGAAATCGGCTATCAAAAATTCTAGTAACCAACATGTGTGCGTCATTTTACACTATCTCAAATAGCGAGTGTAAACTCAGTCGTACACCTCAATTCAGGATGTTTTTGTTCAGTGAATTTACCACAGAAAATATCGCGGCATAAATTGTGGTTGTTCCACATCTGGGGTACACATAGTATTTCCCATAGCCATAGAGCTGTTATCGCCCCCACCGCAGGGTCGTTAGCTGTTAGCGCCGCTCCTTTAGGGTGCTCACCACACCACCTGGCGGTGCGAAAGCGAGGTACAATGTAGAAAACTATTTGTATATGTATATAAATATAATACATAAATATATATACATACAATTATATACATATATTCACTCATGTGCTTTTTGTATGTAGTCATTTAATCTATATCATATCATATTACATTATATCATATTCTGTCATGCTGATAGATACATGGACAAACAAATTCATATATTGATAGATACTTAGTGAATACGTCAACTACTTAATGATATTATGTTTGATATTAATGAATCTTAATAATAAATTGATATCATACATGGATCATGAATAATACTTAATGAATCTTGATACAGTGAGATCTTCTCGTAGAGATTTCTCGAAAGCTGTGAAGCCCAAACCGTCCCGAGGCACCCTACCCTGCGCGCCTGCAGGGGTGTTGTCTCCATTTGCCTCCGCAAGCGAAAAAAAATGAAACTGATTTAAAAAAAAAAACAATTCCCACTACTCCCACGAACAGATAGTAGCAAATTCGACTTTTCTTGGTTGCTACAACGTTGACGTTGTGGTCTGATTCGCCCAACAAAACATCGAATCTTCCTCGAGTCGATCTGTTGGTTACCAAAATGACCAGTTGGTCCGTGGGTCGAGACAAGTAGATCTGGCTTCAAAAGATGAGGAAAATCATGGATTTACCGCTAAAGTTGCCATGTTCATCAGGAAAATGAAGGTTCAAACCACTGGATTTTGGTTGGGGTATCTTATTTTCAAACAAACTCTACCAAGTTGCTAGTGACCATCCCGAGAATTAACAGAATAGACATGAACAAAATGATCATCTGATCGTAGCTTTTGCCACTTGCGGGATGGTTGTTTTTGACCCAGGGGCCATATTCTTAGGGCAAAACCTGCCAAATCCTTTTGAAAAATGGGTCTGCACCCATACCCACTGGCAGCGTTTGTCTCAAGACGGGGAACCTCCCTATTTGTGGCCATTGCAATTGGTAAATGATGATGTTATACGAAACATGGGATGGAATATCCACGGTTCCACATTTTGAGACCAGACCATTTCGTGGTATCTATTCAAGCCTCTGGTACTATATCCCTGTCTATAGTGCTACAATTAGATTTGGCCTATGGGTCAGACCCAGAATATGTGCCATGGTCAAAACGGCATACGGCTTATGTTCATCCCACCATCATGAAAGGGAGTCGTTATAATGTGTATATTAACCCCTACTACTAGGGGATTGCCGTTCCCTTTTATAGGTCATATATATATATATATATGTAATAAGGTTTTGGATCATCAGGTGAGAGGTAGGGACCCCACGTGTTTGTATCCTCAACTTTAGGGGGCTTTTGTGACCACCAGCCCCCGGGCAATATCGTTTTGCCTTCGAAGCATCTGGCGTTGTTCTGAACTGGTGGAACCCTGGAACTACGCACTTTTGCTGTGCTCTATTAGGTGTGGCCTACCTAATATCACCTTTGCAGATCTGTTGTCCCGGCAACGTAAAAAACCCGGGTTTGGCCTCAACATCGCTTTTCTGGTTTTGGTTTTCTCTGTGGTTGACTTTTCCTGCAGATTGGCCTCACATTGAATTGCGAGACGGTTTATGAACTATCTCTCTGTGTTTGTGTTGGTTATCCTCCTTTTCATCAAGGATTACGCCAACATTGAGGAGAAGACAGCGCCGGCAACGGGCAAGAGCCCGTTTGCAGTGGCACCTCCATCAGCGTGGGTGGATTCATCTCGAGAGCAGACAGATTGCGAGCATTCATCGACAATTGAGCCAACATCATTCCAAGGACCCAGCCTTTTTACGCAAGATTGCGAGAACAATGGCTATGACATCAAGGGAACCCTGGAGATGCGTTTGGTGCAAAAGATTGAACAAGCATTCAACTGCACAGTGTGGCTCATGCTATACAGTGTGGAACAAGTGCATCGATATCCACTACGTGCATGGACAGAAAAACTATACACAGGAATCGAACAGATCGACATCACGCAAGAAGTGGCAGAAGGAGGATTGGGACAGCTATGGGTACTCTCCGCGAAGACGGACAGATCCAGCGGCAGGCTATCCATCTCCTTCACCAAGGAAAAGAACAAAAGCGTCCAAACAGAAGAAGAACAAGCAGCAGGACAATTATGGTGCACCTGCACTGGACCCGCCGTGGCAAGCGACAGCGAGTTCCATGCAGCATCACGCAGAAGCAGCGACTTCCAGTGCAGGAGGAGCCGAAGCCTCACTCCTGACGGAGTTGGTGCAAGTCTTGGAATCTTCGGACAAACCTCTATCGGACGAGATTCAGACGGTCATCGAGAAGGCAAAGAGACCCATCGAACCTCCACCCGCGACAGCGAAAACAGTGCGACAGACCTTCGACAAGCTGGAGAAGAAGAGGAAGTCACTTCAGCAAGCACAGAATGCGAGGGCAAAGTTGCACAAATCATGGACGCAGTATGTGGAGGAGTCCATCAAAAGATGGCAGACCTTTGCGACCGATTTTGCCAAAAAGGATGCAGCGCTCGAGCAGAAAGTCACAGAGGCACAAGAAGCACTCTTAGAGGCAAAGAAGAAGTACGACACAGCGAAGGAAGACAACGATCGTCAAGATCAAACTGGAGACAAGGTGGAAGAAATCTCAGACATGGAGGACGAAGGCATGGACAAGGTGATGGAGAAGATGGCAACATCAGAAGAGATACAAGCAAACATCAGCATGATGGTAGAGAACTTGGAGACTCTCAGAATGAAGCCAAACATCGACCAGTCCGAGCACGTCCACAAAAAGCAACGCACCCAAGAAGGAGGAGAAGCAAGCACTCCTGGATTTGGGGCGTCTGCGCTTACGCCTTTTCCAGCGCCCGGCAAATAGACCAAAGGAAGGAGGTTTGCCTAGGGCTTGAACAAGGGCATTTCCGACAAGAAGATTATGTGGTTCATCAATGGACGCATTCGATCTTGGAGGAGCCCAACTTTATCAATGAATGGAAGGCCAGTATACAGGCCCTCGACCTTGCCTTTGACATCACAGATGAACCAGTATTTTCACTGAGTGAACTGAGGGGAGGAAAATCATCAGGCAGACGCGGCAGACAACGAGCGCATGTGAAGTTCAATGCCATTGCAGAGCTCTATGTGGGAGAAGAGCATGCACTTTCTCTTCAGAGATGGCGTTTTCCATGTGGGCTCCCTGTCAGTGACACAAAACTGATTTGTCCTCTTGATTATCCTCTCACAGACGAATCATCTTTCATGTCCATGGGCAACACAGACAGAAGGAATCAGTTTGGCTATGAACCACCAACACATCAAATTGGTTTGCTTGAGCGTGAGGAGGTAGCGATTGACCCTGCCGACCTTCCAGCTCCAGACCATGAAATGACAACAGTCGAAGTTGAAGTGGAAGAAGCAGCAGAAAATTCTGACTATGAGGGTTCAGTCAGTGAGGGAACATATCGAGACCGTGAAGGTGATTGGTTTGCTTCTCTTATTTTTGCGCTTGATTTTCCACCAGTTCCACTTCGAATCGACTGGAACAATCAAGAAGACATGCACAGACAAGCAGCACACGCCTTGGAAGTGAGTCCTCATGAACTCTACTACCTTCATCATGTCAGATGCACACCACAAGATCTGGAAGATGCAGGAGTTGTAGCGTTGATTGGACATAAGCATGGTGATCTGATGCAAGGGTCGACACTTCAACTGGTGTTACTTGATGTTGAATTTCATGCAGCAGTACCAACCATACAGCCGGAAGTTGTACGTAGAGTCGTGCGCTTGCCAAGACAGATTGGGAGACTTGCACTACTACATCGACTGGGACTGGCAGCTTATTGCCGTACCACACGGCAATCCTGCATCATCTGGAGTGATGGAGTTATCATTTCACATCACAGTGTTCGACCCATTGATGTTGAGCATGGCATGTACATGAGAATCGCAGTTCCACCCAATGACAGTGAAGCACGGCACATTGGCACCAGATGTATTGCTACGGCATGTCATCAGGGGGTCACCATGACCGAGCTCTGTGATCGTCATGCCTTGTTTACAATGGGATGGTACGACACAATCATTGATCCTCCTCTTGTGCCACTTCGACCAGATGACGATGAGTTCATGCTCCTGCAGATGACAACCAAGATGCCTCCTCTACCTGCAAGACCATGGTTTCTAAGCAAGACCAGTGAATGCCAAATTGATGGTCTGATACCTGCAGATCATGCGGAAGAGGACATTGGCGAAATCACCAGAGACTATGCCAGTGCTTCGGATCGGCCAGTACCAGGTGGAATCTTGCCACAGCCTGGACTAGATGAACAACCGGAACACATCCATCATTTGGTAGAGCAACTGGAAGAACATGGCGGCATCGAGATGGAAGAAGAAGGTCCAGTCCTCTATGTCACCACATGGTTACTCAATCATCCAATGCAGAGCCAATGCAGAGCATCAAGAACAGTGCGTTTAACGCAGAATTTTGCTCTATGGCATCAACAATTCTTGCGGGCTTGGACAGACTTATTGGAAGAAGGAGTTTTTGTCAACTTCTACATTGTTTTTCCACAGCCGCCTGCCACAAGAATGCAACCAGAACATTTGCCACACATCATTTTGCTGCAAAGATCGCCGGAAGGTGCGCGTGCTGCGGTTCTCACTGTTCTGGACACCCGCAATCCGGAACAAGGGCTACAACACTCAGCACACTTCCTGCACACGATCACCAGCAAGGCTGAATTGATAGATGTGGTTGACAAGAATGAAGTTTGCTATCCGGCAATTTCAGAGCTGCAATGTATGGCATGGCACGGAGAGCAAGAATTGCGAGAAGAACATCGACTCGCCACACATCATGGCATATCCTTCCTCCTCATCCTGCAAGACGTCACATACATGACCACTACAGCGTGGGACACGGCAGAGGAGGAGGCACTGAATTTGATGCAGCAGAGGCACAGCACATGGACCAGCGATCGCACTGGCAGAGCGCCTACTGGCTTGGACCCAAGTGCGCCAGTATTTCGACCAGGGAGACCCATCATCCAGATGCAAAGTGAATTTGTACAAGATGTCTTCGATGCATGGGCAGAAAAAATCGATCAATGTCAAGAAGAAGAGCGATCTATCCAGTTTGAAGTGTGGTTCGTCGATCACGATCGAGAACGACTACAATGCATTGAACCTAGGAAGGTCCGACTCTTTGAGGATTACACGACTTGGGAACAATTGATCAAAAATTCCTGGCGTGAACTTTTAGTTCCACATGAAGAACATGAACTCTTCCTGATCCAGCCGGCTCCGCCCGACCTTGCCAATGACGTTGCTGGCCATATTCTGATTGTGCAGAATCCACATGAAACTCTAGTCACCAATTTGATGACTGTGTATCTACATGATGGACCGACCTCACTGCGCGGACCTCAACAACAGGTTGCAGGTACCACACATGAACATATCTACATGGACCACATTGTGACAGGCTTGGGATTGGCAGACAGATGCCTACACCCCACAGCATCGCATCATTGTGAAGTCTGGTATGAAAACAATCAATTACGACCAGGTCAACCCTGGATGGGTAGGAGCGGTATGGGAATCCTTGTCCACTTGAGACCAAACCTACCACAAGGGCCAGTCTTGCTGCAGTTAGACATGATCGTCACCAGATCACGTGAGCGCCAAACACATGGGCAGGTGGCTCACACCCATGGGCCACGTGAACAGCTTTCGATCACAGAAGAAATGCCAGACAGCAGCGATGAGGCCCCTCGGGCTACAACACTCATCGCAGGAGATATTCAGGAACCCTTCCCCACCTGCATTGAGCTGGAAGGAAAAATCAACAGTGACAGCGTGCAAGAAGAGCTGAAACGATGGGGCCACCATGTCATTGCGTTTGATTGCCACCCACACAACAAGTTTTTCTGCATCAAGTCAGGGGCAGATCCAGAGGCAGCAACATACCATTATTTATTCTGTCACAGTGATGTGGCAGATGATGAAGGATGTTTTGCGCATAGCACTGGCTGCCCGATGAATGAAATACAGTTGATGAAGTTTCTTTGCCAACTTGGCTACACAAGAGCTGTCATTCTACATCAGGAGACAATCTATGCCAATTGGGTCAGAGTCAAGTTTCTTCATCAGGAACCGCTACCGGAGCTTCAGCAAAAGTCTCCTAGGCAGCGGACTCCATGGCCTGTGAAACCAACTGCAGATGGGCCAACACGTAGAAAATTGTTTGAATTGAACACCACAAAAGCAATGTCCACGACATGTCAGCTACGGACGGACTTCAGTGCAGAAGACTTGGAGAGCTTCTTTCAGTCTGCCAAGGATGTTCTGTGCCGTGACTTCAGCTTGGATGATTTGCCGGATTTTGTGAAGGAGGCGATCCACCCAGCTGTTGATGATATAGTTGACATTGACGCCTTTGATCGATTGCTTATTTATACAGATGGATCGTCCAGACCAGAAGGCCGCAGATTACCGCCAGAACGTGCGGATGAACTGGGGTGGGCAGACACCTGGGCATTCTTGGTCATAGGCGAGAGATTTCAACCCGATGACCAACCATCTGAATTCCATGCATTGGGATGGCTTGCACACCCTGTTAGGTACAATCCGACAGGACAGGCGTTCAATGGTGCGAGCCGTATAGGAGCTGATCAAGCAGAACGAGCTGCAGTCACGTTTGCTGGATTGTGGCGTTTGGCCCAAAATACAAATGTGCGAACGGTCATTTGTACCGATTCAGCCACGACAGGTGGCCAAGCGTTTGGAACCCTGTGTACGGCAGATCCTGATGAATCTTTCCGTTTGATGAGAGGGGTGTACCAAGCGTTGCAATGTGCTCTCCCAGCTGACCTTTTGACTTTACACCACACAAAATCTCATGCGGGCGATCCATTCAACGAATTTGTTGACATCGTGGCCAAGGCTGAAAGTACCAGATCTTTCAATCACAAGAGGCAACAACTTGATTTAAGCATCTGGCGCCGACACATGTCACACTTCTGGATGCTCTTCGCGGACAAATTCGGAGTTCCAAAATGGCATGATGGGCAATTTGATGTTCCACCTCCGGAGCTACCTGCGATTGATAGAACACCAACACAGACAAACAAAGGGCTCACCAGAAAGCACAGAAACATCAGAGTGCAATGTGGATTGTGCTTAGCCACTGCAAACGTGCAGTCGCTCTCCAAAGGTCCAGATGGACACGGAGGAAAGCTCCATTACTTGCAGCAGCAAATGAAGGATTTCAATATCAACTGCATGGGCATCCAGGAGGCCCGCACAGATGCGGGAATGAGAACAGCCAACAATATTCTTGTTTTTGCGTCAGGCGGACAAGGTGGACAGCTTGGTGTTGAAACCTGGATCAATTTGGATCAGCCGATTGGATGGCAATACAAGAAAGGTCATTGCCAATTACATCACTTCCACAGAAGCGATTTTTGTGTGGTGCATAGTGATCCAAGGAGACTCCTCATCCGATGTGACAATGTGACCAGCAGCTTCTGGATTTTCAACACGCATGCACCACATAGTGGCAGATCTTTGCAGGAAAGACAAGAATGGTGGGATCTTTCAGTTCAAATCCTGCAACAACATTGTGATCAAGATCCGTTGTACTGGCTTATGGATGCGAATGCACCACCGGGTCAGGCAGATGACACGATTGTTTTTGCACAAGGATACGCCACCACAGCCACAACTGCGTTTTTGCGGGCAGCACTTCAAGCGCAGCAACTCTGTCTGCCGGCTACCGCAGACTGCCATGTTGGATCGAGATCAACTTGGACAGCTATTGATGGGAAGACTGAACATTGCATTGATCACATTGCTATCCCGATGGAATGGAAAAGCAAATGTACATGGTCACAAGTCCTACATGAATTTGACTTGGCGCAAGCCCATGATGATCATGCAGTTGTTGTGCTACAACTTCAGTGGGAGACGGTCGTCCAACTTCCCATCAAGCAGCACCAGACACAGACTTCCCGAAGTGGTGAGCTCTGCAACTTTGATGATAAGGCTTTTCGCACACAGCTCAGCAGGTATGAACCTGCTGATTGGCAGACAGACGTTGAAGCACATGCAGACGGTCTGATCAACCATATCCAACAGGCCATGACAGCTCACATACCTCGAAGACAGAATGATGCCAAGAAGATCTATGTCACAGATGATGTCTGGCAACTACGACTGCAAAAGCTGCAATGCAGACAAAAGTGCAAAGCTGTACGCAGACAAATTGGACGTGAAAGCCTGCGTCAATGTTTCCGTGCATGGAAAGATCCACAGACACAAGAGGCGAACCTTGTGGCGGAGAATTACAACTACGGCACCACTTTGCGCTGCCATCAGATCAAGTGGTATTGTGAGTTTGTGACACTGAGAAAACAGATGAGAAAGGCACTGCAGTCTTCCAAGCATGAATATTTGAAGAGGAACTTGATGAAGACTGATGAAAAGACAGCTGCCACTGATTTGCTCCGGATGCTGAAACCCTTTTGGACCCACAAACTTGAAACAACAGAAGAAGAAACCGCTGCCAATGATCAAAGACGCAGACCAACAACCATGCGCTCTTCCCAATGAAGCACTGGCGGTATGGATCAGCTTCTTTCAGAACATGGAGGGTGGCACTAGGGTTACAGCAGACCAACTACGCCGAGACTGGATAGAAGACCTTTCTGCCCTACGCCAAGAGGATTTTGCGCTGGACATGCAGGAATTCCCGACTCTGGTTGACCTTGAAATTGCATTGAGAAGAGTTCCAAGTCGCAAGGCGAAGGGCCCAGATGACATTCCAGGAGAGATCTGCCATTTTCATGCAGACATTTTGGCAGTTCAGATGTGCACGCAAATGATGAAACTGGCCTTGCACGGCCAAGAGCCTTTGCTGTACAAAGGGGGCCGTTTAATCCCCGCTTACAAAGGAAAAGGAGACCCTTGCCAAGTGGCCTCTTTCCGTTCACTCCTGGTATCGTCGTACCTGGGCAAATCGATTCATCGCAGTCTCCGCCAACATCAAGCACAGGCGTACGAACACTTCCTACAGGCTCAACAACTCGGAGGTCGTCGAAAGGTCCCGGTGCAAATGGCTCTGCATCAAGCGAGGGCATTTCTTCGAAGAGCACGAGAAAGGCGCATATCAGTAGGACTTCTGTTCCTCGACCTGACAGAAGCTTTCTACAGAATCCTGAGGGAACTCACAATGGGTGGGCAACCAACGGATGAGCTATTAGCTTTTGTGCTTCATCGCCTTCAGCTTCCACCTGACGCGATACATCAACTGCATGGGTTGCTGGATGAAAGAACGGCTTTGCAGCAAGCCGGATTGAGCTTCACAGCACGCAATTGCATCCGTGCAATTCACCAGAACACGCATTTCTGGTTACAAGGCCAAGCCGACTTGGTGGCAACATATCTCGGCACTAGGCCGGGAGATTCTTTTGCAGATTTGATCTTCGGCTTCACATGGAGTGTCGTTCTTCGAAAACTGCAGGGGTACATGGAGGAGCATGGAATGGCGGTTCAGCTACCAGCTCGTCAGGACCCACCCTTTTTTGCAGATACAGGAGCACAACAAGACCACGGAGAAGCGAAGACATATCTCGGCCCCACTTGGATGGACGACCTTTGTCTATGCCTGCAAGGTGAATCCCCATCACAGCTGGAACGAAACCTGGGACCAGCGATTGGGTATTTACTGGACTTGTGCTATAGCCACCTCATGACGCCAAATCTCAGCAAAGGCAAAACGGAGCTCCTTTTGAGTTTCAGAGGTGTGGGTAGCCGCAAGCATACCATCCAACACTATGGCCCCAACGCGAGTGGGTACTATGATGTCCTTTGTGAACATCAAGCGCAACGCATCACCGTTGTCAAAGCATATCGACACTTAGGTGGTCAGTTGCATCACACCAGTGACCAAAATGGAGAAGTCAGGATCAAAATTGCCACAGCCCATCAAGCTTTTAACCAACACAGAAGGTTGCTCTACCACAATGATCAGGTGGAGCTTGCGAAAAAGGTGGAGATATTCAACACCCTGGTGGTTACAAAGATGTTGTATGGTGCGGACTCCTGGATTGCACAGGACTCACGCACGATGCGCAAGTTCGAGACGGCGGTGATCAAGCTGTACAAGCGTCTCTTGCGATGGAGACATGATGGACACCACACGTCACAGCAAGTCCTTGCAGCAGTACAACAACATGCCCCAGTGATCCTCCTGCGAAGAGCTCGACTCCGATACCTTGTTACTCTATTTCAATGTGGTGTACCCGACATCTGGCACCTGCTGGGTGAGGATACGCAATGGGTCAGACTCATTGAAGATGACATGAATTGGATGTGGCAGCAGCTCAGACATGCGTCAAGTTTGCGCGACCCTCGAGATCATCCTCAACAATGGTTTGAACTCATTGCGCATCATCCCCGATACTGGAAGAGACTTCTGAGTCGAGCGTGCCACCATGACATGTTGCAGAGACGCAAGGTGTACCATGTGACAGCACTACATGAGAGAGTTTTTCAACGCTTTCGTGAGGTGCAGATTGAGCAGAGACAGGATCCCACTGATATCTCCATCAGACGACCACATGCAGATCCAGAAGACGTCGTCTATGGTTGCATGGGTTGTCGTTTGAAATGCAAGAACAAGGCAGGGGAAGGAGCGCACATGTACAAGAAGCACAACCAGGTTTCTGTACTGAGATGCTACATTGACCAAACACAGTGTAGAGCCTGCCTACGTGAATTTCATACCTTCACCAAAATGAAAGCGCATCTTTATCATTCAGAGGCGTGCAGGGCGACTCTCCTTGCGGGCCCCAAATGTGATGAACTTGCACCTGGAGCAGGATCCAGAGCAGACGGATTGTTGGAGCAGCAGCATGACAGATGCCTGCCACCACTTCAAGCAGCTGGACCCATGAATCAACCCCAACGTGCAAGGGCATTCAATGACATCAATGAGTCCCTGCATATCTACATGGTGGATCTTCTGGTGGAGTATGGAGCCTCAGATCAGACCATCATGGATTTCGACAGGGCAATGAAGATTTGGATTCTGGACCACGCGATCTCGTGGACCCGGACGCAAAACACTTTGCGCTTCTTCAGGGATAATCTCACTAAGGAAGATGCGGGCGCGCTCACCTTTGACATTGCGGAGGTTACGGAGGAGTTGAACTATCTCATGGACCACCGAACATGGGATTTCCTGAAGGAAGCGGCAAAAGATCGAGAAGAAAGCCATGACATTGCTTGGTGCCATCACGAATGCCAAGCTTGGCAAGAATGGTGGCTCCAGCTTTCGCAGATGCACATTCCGAGAGTTTTTGGTCGCCAGCGCATTATCCTGCATGCTTTTGCAGGTAGACGCAGACTGGGAGACATACAATACTACTTGGAAAAGGACCTACCACAAGAAGCACCGTACAGCCTGGTTGTTGTATCCCTCGATATTGTCATTGACAGACAATGGGGAGACGCAACCAGAGAAGACACACGCAAGCTGTGGCTCGCTGCCATTCGCGATTGCTTTGTGGTAGGCTTCATTGCCGGTCCACCATGCGAAACCTGGTCTCGAGTGCGAGGCGTCAATTCGCCTCCTGCAGAGGATGCGATCAACCCTGCGGCGCTTGAGCAGCCTTCGCCTGGACATGGACTTCCTCGCATTCTTCGCACGCACCAAGACCTGTGGGGCCTTGACTCATTGGCTATCCGTGAACTTTTGCAGATCTTAACAGGCAATGACTTGTTAAGTTTTGCGCTTGAAGCCATCATTGAAATTGCCCTAGCAGGATCCGTAGGAGTTTTGGAACACCCAGCTGAACCCACTGACCTCCCAGAGGCCGCGGCCATTTGGAGGCTGCCTTTGATGAATGTTATTTGTCAATTGCCAGGTGTTGAAAGGGTTCGTTTTGCCCAGGGATTGCTAGGTGCCAAAACTGTTAAAGCCACTGAGCTTTTGTGCGTGAATTTGCCATCCATCATTGCCTCGCTGCATGCCAATAGGGTTCAACATGAACTGCCAAAGGGTCAATCAGTAGGCAAAGATGAGAAGGGCAACTGGAAGACGTCTTCTTTGAAAGAATACGCTCCAGCTATGTGCAAGGGGATTTCGGAAGCAATCCGACTAGTTTTTGACTCAACGGAGGTCGCTAGCGGAATTGCTGATGCGCCAGAACACCTTGTTGCCATTTGTCATGCCATGCAGACGTATGATTTTGGTTTGACTTTTGGCCCGGACTATGCCAGGCGCAGCTGAGATCCCTGAATTGTGAATTCAACTTTGCCGAGCCGCAGCGAGAATGCACCAAAGAGCTCCCAGCTAAAAAAAATATATGTAATTATATGTAATTATATGTAACTATATAACTATCCAACTGTTGACCATGGCACCTATAAGCCATACAGGTCCCCAACCACAACACCGGTGATCCCACCTCATCCTCCAGCCCCAGGCTCTTCAACGCGTACATCAGCGTCAGGGCCGTGGCAAAGCCTCGGAAAACGAGGCTAACTCAGCTGCTCGGCTGGTGAAAAATGGCTTCTAAGCCACAAAAGGTGACGATTTTCCGACAAATGTCAAATCATCAAGACTTTATATATCAGTTATCATGCAAAATTCAAATTACCAAGAAGGAGGGTGTTTTGAATAGTAATCATTTCGACGACAATGACTTTTTCCAAAGCGGTGACATTGGAGAGTACCACCAACATCAACAGGGATTTGCAGTAATCAGCAACATGTGGAGATGATTGCGCTGGAGATTTCATTGATGGCTATATGCAGGTAATTTCACAAGTGCAGGGAAAGTGAACGAACAAAAAACTGAACTTGAAACTTAGCAATGAGGATGGCAATACAAGCAAGAAAAAAGGAGCCATGAGATTGTTCAACAAAACTGGGAAAATGAACCAAAGACATTGTACTAAAGCCAGCAACACTGGAGGTTTCCGGAAACCTCCAAAGTAGTGGTGCAATAGCAGCAGGCCCAAACGGGGAATGTTACAGTACAAAGGATCTGACTTCTAGTAACCTGTCTTCCCAACACATATTGTATGTAGATATTTATATATAATAGTAGTATAGAATGTTATAGAATGTATAAATATATATATATGTACAATACCTTACAATATATATATAATAGACATATACTATAGACTATAGATATATTACATCTGTTTTTTTACCAAATTGGAGGTGAACTCTCCGCCTCCTTGGATCCCCATGCCAACAATAGCAGTGAGCACATGACTCCAGTTGACCCTGAGCAGAAAGAGGGCTGGGAATTTCGCGCAGCAAAACTTGAGCTGAGTTCTCCGATTTTTGAACTTGGTAAAAATTTAAAAAATGAAATTCAAAGGTTCACTCCAAAGATGCTTTGTTAAGGTCAGAAACAAACACCTGCAACCTGTCTAAAAATATCTTCATCGTTGCCTGCGCCAATGGTTTCCTAGTCGTTGCACCCTGCCTGGAATGTGGTACCATCTCCGACCTGCCGGGCCAACCCCCCGAACCATCAGCAGTTTATCCCGTTGCCTGGGTTATTCTTGATGGTGAAAATTGATGAAACCCCACCATTCACCACAGTTTACCAAGACCGAACCATCCCGATTTTCTATGTCTCAATGTTTGATGTTTGCATCATTTAAATTCGCGTTAGAACCCCATTTCGTCACCAGTTCATTTTCTGGGATGATCTCGTCATATCCAATGGCATCCCCATAGCCTCAATCATGGAAAATCACCAGTTGTTACCCTCTGGTAATCAAAGATAGCAATTGAAACTCCCCAAACTAGATGGAGGTTTATAGCTGGGAAAATCATCGAACCAAATGGGGTCACCACCATTTTTTGCCATCAAATTCCTGTCTCCATTCGCCATGAAATCCCATTGCACCATCATTAACAATATTCTTCAAGTGAAATTTTCCCAGTTCCCATCTTGGCGCATTCCTTTTTCAATCCACCGCCACCACCAGCAGCTGCGCGCTGCCCGCGGGCTGCCGCAGGACGAACTCCTCAGGCAGTGCTTCCGCCAACTCAACGCCCAGCCAGTCCAGCTCGGGGGCTACGTACTCAGGCACCAGGCCAGCCTAATGCAAGGCTTTTTTGGCCACGGGAAATGAAAAAAACATGGTAAAATCATGGGAAAATGAGGTGGAAAAAGTTTGGTATTTACTTGAAGGATCACCCCACGAAGAAAGCAACTGGTTCGCGTTTGACACCCCAGTTATAAATGGGATAACCTCAGCAATCAGCAATGGTGGTACGTGCTTGGATGTGCATCATAGGAGTCGTAGGTGGCTCATGACCATGGTTACTTCACCCAATTGTGGGATGTTCCAAGCTACTGTATGTGTGGGTTATTGTCCACTTGCCAAAAAAATGTGGAATGCACATCCAAGTGGTACTCCCGGAAAGTAAGTGCCATTTCTACTGAACCAGTCATATGTCTGAGCTGAATCCAAGGGGGGTTTGACAAATGGTTGTGATGTACCTGGGCTTTAATTCATCAACAAATTCCCATGTAGCCCCGATCTTTACAAAGTTTCAAGGTTCAACTGCACAGGCCTTCCCAAAAGAATATAATATATATATAATATATGATATATATATATATACTAAATTTCTGACAGATAGAATATGGACTAATTATTTTTTGCTAATTACTTCAATTCAGGATTTTTTCGCCGACCCCTGAGCCTGAGAATTCTATCTGCATGCAGATAGAATATGGGATGTCCAAATCATATATAAACATACAAAACATACATATTCAATTCAAACCTGCACGACGGGCACCTATGTATATTTGTTTATATGAATGATATGTTTACAAGAAAATGGTTGCTGGGAATGCACATAGAATATAGCACAGCATTGCACACACACACACATATATATATATATTCACATGCATAATTGCCAGCACCACTTCCTATGCATCTTTTTGATGGCTAATACCGAAGGCACCTTGCGACTTTCTTTTAATGAAATTGGTTGCAGGAATTGCACATAGAATACACGATGTCGATTACCGTTTTCTATTGCCATGTCGGGGGTGAGCGACAAGAAGGAAACGGATGCAAAATGAAAGGAAATGAATGCAACATGAAAGGATATGAATGGAAATTGAAAGGAAATGAATGGAAAATGAAAGGAAACACATGCAAAATGAAAGGACATGAATGCAAAATGCACGGAAATGGATGGAAAAAAACAAACATATTATGTTTGCTATGGTATTGATTCATTTGTATCATATGATTTGTTTACAAGAAATTGGTTGCAGGGAATGCACATAGAATATAGCACAGCATTGCACACACACACACCCATTTATTCACATGGATCATTGCCAGCACCACTTCCTATGCATAATTTTGACGGCTATGTTCATAAACAAAGCAAATACCGAAGGCACCTTGCGATTTTCTTTTCATGAAATTGGTTGCAGGAATTGCACATAGAATGCACGATTACCGTTTTCTGTTGCCGTCTCGGGGGTGAGCGACAAGATTTCCAAAGCAAAATGAAAGGAAACGGATGCAAAATGACAGGAAATGGATGCAACATGAAACGAGATGAATGGAATTTGAAAGGAAATGAATGGAAAATGAAAGGAAACACATGCAAAATGAAAGGAAATGAATGCAAAATGCACGGAAATGGATGGAAAGAAACAAACATATTCTGTTTGCTATGGTATTGATTCATTTGTATCATATGATCTGTTTACAAGAAATTGGTTGCAGGGAATGCACATAGAATATAGCACAGCATTGTGCGCACACACACACATTTATTCACATGCATCATTGCCAGCACCACTTCCTATGCATCTTTTTGATGGCTATGTTCATAAACAAAGCAAATACCGAAGGCACCTTGCGATTTTCTTTTCATGAAATTGGTTGCAGGAATTGCACATAGAATGCACGATTACCGTTTTCTATTGCCATGTCGGGGGTGAGCGACAAGATTTCCAAAGCAAAATGAAAGGAAACGGATGCAAGATGAAAGGAAATGAATGCGACATGAAAGGATATGAATGGAAATTGAAAGGAAATGAATGGAAAATGAAAGAAAACAAATGCAAAATGCAAGGAAATACATACAAAAATGGAAGGAACGAATGGAAAAAACGAAATGAATAAGATTATATAAAAGGAAATGATTGTCAAAGTGGAAGGCAATGAATGCAAAAAGGACATGAATGGAACATGAAAGGAAATGAATGCCCAAAATGGAAGGAGATGAAGAATAAATGACAGGAAACAAATGGAGATTAAAAGGAAATGGATGCAAAACCATAGGACATGGATGGAAACTGAAAAGAGATTAATAAGAAATGAATGGACATGAATGCAACATAAAAGGAAATTAATGCAAAATTGGAAGGAAAGGGACGGAAGGTTTTCTCTGTCAAACCCCTTTCATAAAACAGTTCAAAATGTTGCAGATAGAATATATATATCTGGAGGCCAGCATTGCTGGTCGTGTAGATATATAATGCGGGCTCAACATACTACATAGTTATTTGTATCTAATGTATTTGGAAACCAGCATTTTACATCTGCATTCTATTCACAACATATATTTGGAAGCCAGCGTTGCTGGTTGTGTATATAGATATATGACACGGGTTCCACATGCCAGACATGTATTTTGTATAGAAAATATACAGAAAACATGTCTTAAAACTAACATGTTTCATATTTTATTTGTCTGATATTCTATCTGCTGGTGGGAATTACTTTTTTCAGAATATATATAAACTAGTCTATATAAAATATTCTATCACAAGAGCCAAAGGATCGTCTTGCCAAGAAGCAGCTCGTTAGAGTACAATAAGCCAGAGCAGCAGAACCAAAACACAAAAAATGATGCAGAATGTAGAGAAGATCACTATTCCTGAAATCTTTGTTTCGCGTGACGATGTACAGACTGACAATTTGAACCGGGGTAGGGGAAAATTCTGCAAGAGCTGGGAAGGAAGTGGAGGGAACGTGTTTTCTGCTAAGGCCCTTTCATAAAAAGGTTCAAAATGTTGCAGATAGAATATATTTGAAATCCCGGGTTCTGGAAGCCAACATTTTACATTTATAATTGTATATATATATATATATATTATTCGCAATATATATTTGGAAGCCAGCGTTGCTGGTTGTGTAAATATATATATATATATATGACACGGTTTCCACATGCAATACATGTATTCTGTTTAGAACACACACATATATATATATATATACAGTAAACATGTATAGATTCAATCTAACATATTTCATATTCTATCTGTACTATATTCTATCTGCTGGTGGGATTTACTTTCTTTTTATAGATAAAATATTCTATCTGCATACCAATTACTCGCACATATTCTATGTGCCATAAATTTAGTATACATATATTTACAGAGAACCTTGCAATTTCTCGGGATGCCACCTTTACGAAATGAAGTAAATGTGGTTTCATCCGGGGAACCAGCATCCAACTTCCCTTGCGGTCAAGCTTCGTCTTCTTCCCCACAGCATCTGGACCAAAGGAACCTTTTGATTCCTGAGCAGGAAACTTGCCATGTTCGGTCGCCGGGAATCCAGCAAACCGGTTCGCCTCAACATCACCACCAGTTTATTTGGCACAAAAATGAAGGTTTCCTGATTTCAAGTTCCTTAAACCAAGTCAGTCACAAAGGGAATAGATTCAACAGATTCCCCCTTTAAAACACACAAGCCAAAGCATCGGGTCTCCACGAGTTTGTATGGAATATCCAGCAGGAAATTCACGAAACCCAGCAGTAGTGGATGATGACCTACCACCACAATGGAGGCCGGCGTGTATGCCACCGCAATGGCGATATAAGCGTTGACCAGGCCCAAGATGAAGGTCACGACAATGAACGCACCTGCAAGCGGCCTTTGACAACACGGGATCCACCATCCCCATCAAACCAGGCTCCAATCCCGGCCAGCCTTACCGGGCGAAAAAACATGTTGCAGTATCCATTTGGTTAAGTTTGGCTCGGTAGTAACTACCCCTGTTCCCATGTATATACTTCACATGCCAAAACTCTTGGCCCATTTTGGGCTTCGAAAGCTTGGGGATTGACACTGAGACCCATCATTCAATGTGGATCCATAATCATTCATGGCATTTACATGTCTGTTGTTGATGAAATTCCACATGGCTTTGGACCCTCGACCTTTAGACACTCCATCCTTCCTACTCATCAAAATCCCTTCACCCACTGGGCGCAAATTTACGCATTGCACCTCCTCGCACACTGCGGCCTGCGCAGCCGCAGCATCGTTCCAAGAGAAATTTGATCCTGAGTTTTTTTGGATTGCTGGAGCACTACCTGGAAACCTGGTTTGTTGATACTTCACCCAAATACGAGTGACCCAGTATCCTGGGATATGATTCGGATATGATTAACCAGTGCATTCTATTGGAGACGGATTCTGAAACTGACATGGGGATGGATTCGGATGTCACTGGAGCTACCACCGACCATGGATGCTGCAGTTTGGATCATCCGGTTCCTACCAGGTTAGATCACTCACCATCCAAAAAATGTTTGCATGGTGATCTATGGTGATCTAACCATAGAATTCCGTTCAGATTCAGCCAGAAACCATCCCTTACCAGTCACACCAGTCACACCAGTCACAAACGTCACAACTGGATCCAAAGATCATCTCCATGGGCCAAATGAAGGAAATCAGCTCAAAGAAGAAGGCAATGCCTACGAGGCAGTCGACTGCTGAACGTTGACGTCTCGGAATGCGATCAAAAACACCTAAGATTTGGATTCTAAAAATGGGGGATAGCCTCAAATAGTTATTTGATATAACGGGGAAACGAGGATTGATCGCTGGAACTTGGTGGGTTCCCCTAATTTTAAAAAAATGAATAAGGACAGAAAATGGACCTCAGATTGTTTGGAAACCCAAAAGAAATATGTTAACGTACTGGAATCGGTGAGAACTGGTTCAATACAAGTGTCTCAAGTTTTCACAAGTGGTTGATAAGGCTTCCACTGCAAAAATAGAAACACCCGGAAAGCACTGGTGATATAATCTCTTTCCAAATATGAAACAGTAGGGGCTGAAATCGCATATTTGGGACCATAGAATGGAGGGTGGTTGCTATTCCCAATTGTTCTCAACTTCCAGTCGGCTCTATAGTTCTAATATATATATATATATATCATGATATGTTCAAAACATCCCAGGAAACACTGGTCTTCCCGCGGCATCGATCCACATCGCCATACGATAGATTGGATGGTTCAAGACCAAGAATCACTGGCTATGGCTATTGGTTCACTCCATAAAAAGTAAAAATAAAACATCATAAAACTATATCATATGTATATATATACATACATATACATTTATATTGGCTCTTGGTTCAATTTTACAAGTCACTAGCTATTTACTGTAAGCAGATCTGTTCGTACCAGGGTATCCGGTAGGCAGCTTCGAGTCCTGGATGCTAGTTTTTCACCAAACCCAATGACCTGGCTCCAAAATGCCGGAAACAACACATCTTCAGCATCTCAACCCTCCCAAAAAAAATGGAAAAAATAGGTCCAAATAGGTCCCCACTATCTTCCTGGAGAACTTCACCAAAGAAAATCCGGAAATTCTCCGGTCTCGGCCTAGCTGTTGAATAAACGAGGTCAGCAGGAAAGTCTGCCGCATGAAGAGCCGGTCCTCCGTGGCTCCTGGTCCAAGGCTAGGGCAAGGACAACTTTCCCCAAACAAAAAGTGCGATTTGAATTCAGCCAAACTTGGGGAATTCATGGAATTTCCAGGAAATTCAGAGAAATCCTATGGAGTTTAGTGGAATTGAATGGAAATTTCAATGGAATCACATTTGATTTCCACTAAGTCGGCTCAGAACTAGGGTCTTTCGTGGATATGGCTTCACCCATCATTTAAGGGGCCACCTTGTCAGGGGTCCGTGGACCAGTGGTTGGGTATAGAATAGTGGGGTCTTTATGTACGTAAGTTTGGGTATCAACTAATATAAGTGGATGTAAATGAGTTGGATACGTCCACTCATCTAACCATTTTTGTTGGAAATCCCCTCACACGAGACACAAATACTCTCGTGGAAGCCTTGCAACAACTCAAGGAATTTTTTGGAGCGCTGCAAACGTAAGCAATTACTATATATGTATATCACACATCGAGTTTTTCCCCTGAAAAAAACCGAAGAACATGTGGTGCGGGCCTCAAAAAGGGTGGAACATATGAAAGAACGGAGACTCTGATAAGTCATCATTTCAACATGTCCATGTATGCATAGTATTTCAAACCAAAAACCAAAGGTGTAAAAAAAAGAGGAAAAAAAACATAGGGGTAATCAGGGTAATCGTAATCTTTTCTATCTCTTTGCAGGTTACTATAATCCACCTAGGTCCACACCATGAGTTCATCGATTCTCAATTTGTGGATCAACCGATTGGAAAGAACGAGCTGCAGTTGAGCTGATAAATGGATACAAATGGGTAATAAATAATCCGAAACATAGGATCTATATCCCAATTCATCAGGGTTATTACATGTTATTACATGTTATTATCATAGTTATATTACCACTAATAACCTCAACTGCAGCCCCAAGGGGGACTCAATAATCCATGAACCCACAACGGATAACCCTTGAGAGACATGCGGAGTTTCCCACGAAACAACCATGCACCAGCCAGGGTCAATATCGTTTTGGATCAAACATATCATGGCTTGACAAAACATCTCCAAAGCTAGTTTTTGTCCACTTAGTATTTGAATCTCATATAGGCCATTCTTACTTTCGGTCAGATGGGATTAACTTGGGTTGGCCACCTGCTCTACTTGCGGACGTGGGATACAGAAAAAACTTCAACAGTGACCCTGCTCACCGTGATCATATTGGACATTCCCTCCAAATTGAGTTCGACAAGAAATGGGTATGGGTATAGGTCTCAAAATAATTGGCCCAAAAAAAATGACTGAGATGCCGACATACTAAGAAAAACAAGTTCGTGGATCACCCCCTTTAAATCAGGAACCTTTCCGGCTTCGTCCTGTTGGATAGTACATCTGCCCCTGCATCCCAGTAGAGAGCCCCGCCGCCAAGTCTGAAAACCAGAACATCAGCAGCAGGCTCCAGTACTGTACACGTGCCTGGCATGCTGCCTGTTGGGTGTCTAAAAAGTGGTAAGTACTTGGTGGTTCATCCCACTTAGTAAGCAGGTTTTATATATATAGTTCACCCCAGTTGTAAGTGGATTATAACCTTTTTTATCCCACTTAGAACCAGGGATATATCACCTACTTAGTAAGTGGGATGAGCCACCTACTATACCCCAATTTATAGCAAGTTTTATTGGGGAGTAGTTGTTATGAATAAGCAGTGGATTTGGGGGCCATCATGGTGACTGGAAAGTCAGATGGGATGACTTTCCTTGAATCAACAGGAAAGCCTGCAATAGCCTACCATTCATTCTGTGTCTTAAGAGTGTTTGTCCGAAATTGGAGTACCCCATGATTTGTCATGTTTTTCCCTCGTATTGCCATATTAGGGTATACCCCGTGACTGCGGCACATATTTTCCGAACATGACACTGCAAAGGGGTGATCCAGTACCTTGTGCAGGTTGCAAAAGTACAGCATCAAGAGGTACAGGAAGAGACAGGCGGTGAAGCAAATGAAGAATTGCCCAAATTCAGACACCTCAAAGTGTCCACTCATCAGAATTCCAGTTGCCCCCTTGTCATGAAGGCAGTCCCACTAAAGCTTATCACTAATGACTATGACTATGGCTACTTCCAGGGAGTAGAAAGGACCCTTGTCAAAAGGTTTCAGAAGATACAGGACATGCTGAAAGGATCTGAAAGGGCCCTTGGTCTCTGAGCTTCCACCAAAGGTCTCGTTACATTTGGCCAATTTCGGAACTCCCAAAATCAGAAATGTGAAATTCGCTGTCCAAAAAGCTCTGACTGCTTCATGCTGATTGTTTCATCCCGCCTGGTTCTCAGGGCACCATTTGGTGTCCACTGGCACCAGGTGTCGTGCCTTGCATTCCAACATTCGACGATTCGGCAGGTCCACGACAGTGATCAGATCCGTGGGATCGTCCACGTTGAATTCCTGCACGACATAGAAACCATCCTGAGCCACAGCTGAGTTCTACCCGAAACATTCCGAAACGGCGAAACGTCAAACATGGGGAAATCCCCGAACCAAATGGAGGTCTAGAGTAGTCCAGAGCTGGAAAAATATGGAAAAATCATCTACAAATGTGGAATTGTCCATTGCCATGTTTGATTGCCAGAGGGTAGGTCAAGCATGGTCAGAACAGGGTCAAACTTAACTAGCAACAAATGACTCAGATGGGGCATACCGTATACCTCATTTAGTGTTCAGCCATTCCAACTGATTTTCTTGTCGTAAAGTACCTCATGTTCCAAACCTTTTGCCCCCTCCATGGGAGGAATGGCCTCCGTAGTGTTGCAGCCGCTGGCATTGACGCACTGGCTCGGAAAGAGTTTAAACCCTTGGACCAGCGGCAACACCAGCAACCATTGCACATGGCGTGGCTGGCACGAGGCAAGGGTCATCATTGGTGACTGCACTGAAGTTATGAGCTGACTAGTGTTGACTATCGAATCTATATAAGGGTCCAGAAAATAGATGGAAAAATGGAAAGCTACTGAAACGCTCTTCTGAAGGTGATTTCTGCTGTTCTTTTTTTAAGGCTCATATACACCACACGGGACAAGTCATTTTGTCATTTATTGGAACCTGTACAGAAGCTAAAACCTGGTCCCCCTCTTGGGTGCGTCATTCTTTTCGCCACTCAGCTTCGAACTGTCAAGCTTTTGAAGCCCAGGTGAATCTCTTTCGTTCTCATCAAAATTTGGCTGATTTTTTGGCTGGATGTTCATCCAGCTGAATCATGGTATCATCGGTTTGACCTATCCCAATCTCAAAAACTACAAGTGAAAGTGAGATCTCCCCTGACAGGCTCTCAATTCAGGTGTCACGCCTGAGAATAGGGAAGATCTCGGTGGTCACAGCGCCCAAGAGTAACTCGGAAGAGGGGATGGATATCACACCATCATCCGTACCACTGCCAATGAATCCGGCACGTGGTTGCGTTTCTATCCCACGCCACTTAACCACCTTGTTTTTTGTGCAGGTTCTTGAAAAATTGGGAGGCCAAATGTCAGACCATTGGATTTCCGGCAAAGCTGACTAAAAATCGCACACCTTCACAAACCTTCTGTCAATTCGCAAAAAAAATGAGGGAGCCAGTCAGGTCGGAAAACACACTATGGCTGTTGGTGCAGGGCGTGCCACCCAAAAAGGGAACACGATCAGGTCTGATTCTTAGACGTATTGGAAAAATGGGCATAGTACCCGAAATCTCCTCGGGTTTCTCCTCATTATGTCGGTCGTATCCTGATTTTCCCTATGAAAATCATGATTTTCCCTTTTCAAACAGCTCAATCGATTGTGGGGTATCCCGGATATCCCCATTCTTGGCATCTCCTAGGCCGCAGGCTCCAGCCGAAAGATGTTGAAGCCTTGCTTCCAACTTTTCAGACCTCGAAATGGCTGGAACTCCTGAGTTGAACAACTTCCCGAAAAAATCCATCGATTGTCCAGTCGGAAATTCTTCCAGAATCTCTTGGAATATTCTTGAAAAAGGAAAAATCGTGGAACGGCACGAACTATCTTTGGGGAACCTGACATCCAAAGAATTCGCAGTTTGTTTTTCATGTTTAATTGTTCAAGGGTTTGTTCGTTGATTTTGTTGTTCGAACCTCCCACAAGCTCTTAGGGAACCACCCCATAAAAATGTTAGAAGTTGGAGTTGAACTCTACAACTCATTATGATCTTTCCAGTCGCCAAAATTTTGTCGTAGGAATTCGTGAAAGTACCAGCTAAATTATCATTTCAACTTTCGAATCTCGTCTCAGAAATAGCCAACTAGCCAAAAAGAGAAAGAAGAACCAACAAACATCATGAGCTTATGTGGTGGTTTGGCTTGGTGGTTTGGGGGGTCTGGGGAATTTAACAAAAAATCGCAGACCCTCCATTTCTTTCAAAATCCGACGTGTTTTTTTTGCTCCAGGGGGCGGTTGGCCAGCGGAGACCGCCATAGATCCCAAAGCCATGGCCTCGGTGAAACGACTCCCGGTGAAACCTTTGAAACCTGTCGGTCTGGTGACGATCAGACATTCACTGGGATGTTTTTGGTGTCTTGGTCATGGCAGGTAATCATCCCAACCCCAACCAATCAGAGAAAGCCTAGGCCTAGAAAGCCTAGGCCTAGAAAGCCTTGGCTGAGAGTATTGATGATCTCAGGGGTTCTCGCCAAAAATTGCATTGTTGATTGTGTATCCCATGAACTTTTCCCCTTCCAACTGAGTTTCCCCAATCCCCATTCTATCCCAGCAACGACGGCTGGCAGCGCTGTAATCCCACATATCTCAGGCAGGGTGGCCTAAGAAAAGCAAAGAAAAGGTGGCCCTTTTCGGTGTAAAATGGGAGATTTACGTGATGGGATGTAATGGAATATCAACAAAAATATCATATGTGGCTGTGTCCGAAACAGATTTATGGGCCCATCTATGGCCATTTTAGTACTGTTTGTTTGGGAAAAATGCGTTTTTTTCACCATGGCCCAGGGTTTTTTACTCTCAAAGAGTGGGTACTCCTGCAAATCGATGGGTTTTGCTGTTTTTTTTTGTTTCTCTACCAGTTTGATGTGATTTATCAGTTATAACTGGGAGCACGGCCATTATATGGGTTTAGTGTACATAAGTGACATTTTTAAGTTAGACTTCCATGATACCTTTCATGAATCAATTTGGGGTTGACTAGTGATGAATCAACCACCGATCATAATACTGATTAATGCAGGTAAATCAAAAGGAAACATAAATTAATGTGTTTGCATATGTTTGCCTTTCAAACTCCATTGAGAACTGGTCAGTGGCCGCATTGTACCGTCTCTGAGATACAATTGGAGCATGGCAAGTGGCAGGTGAGCCACTTGATGAAACCAATTGGTTGTTCAGGTCGATGTTTAAAAAAGGGCAGAACCTAAATCAAAAGCAAATGTGCACCAGTTTTAGCCTTAGTTTAAAGACCTGCAAGTACTGTGTATGTACCTATGCATATCTACAATCACATTTTGCATACCAAATCGTGTATTTTGGTGTTCTTCGTGGAATTTATCTCGACATACATGGGCATGTTAACATTGGACAGTCCAAAAACACATGGTTTAATACCATACAAAGTACGAATCCCAACGTCGAAGGCCATTAATTCTGATCCATCATTGCCTTTTTTCGTGGTTTGATATAGTTCATTCCTATTTCTGATGGGTAAAATGTTCCTCTTTATGGTCGAATCCTATTTTTTATTTTTTGTGGGTGACCTCTCCATTTTTGAGGTTCAAAAAACACCCGGAATTTGCACCTCCATCCTGGGTCAAACTCCGTGCCGCACCATGGTTGCGTCGATGAAAACCGGAAAATCCCGGATCAAAATAGGGGGTTTTCATGGGAAACTCATTTAATGGAGATGTCCCAGCCATGATTGAATATTGGAAGGTCCATCATTTGGTCAGATTATCCTAACTAAATCCGTTTAGCGCTTAGCTAAGTGGGTTGAGGACGTTTTACTGCCTGTCTCTGTGTTACAATGATGGTATGTTGACATGCAAGAAATGGTTCTGCAAAGAATTTGCCAAAAATCCCAGAACTCCTGGTTGATTTATTTGATCCTTTCTGTTCCCATACCCTGGTGTTGGGTCGTCCTTTAAGCACCCCAAGCACGACATCTTCCGAAAGGGTCAAAATTTTGAAGGTCAAAACCCATGCAGTCCTTTCGTTTTCACCCCAAAATAACTGAGATTTATGGATGTGTTTCCTCCAAATATGGTAAAATCGGTATTGCGGTATTGACTGATCTGCAGTTGACCTCTGTAATTACCCAGTCATGCGAAATGTTTTGTTTTCGCGCTGGATCAACGGCTTGCCATTGAGCCGAGCCACGGTGACATGCACCCCGGGGCATTTTGCATGAAGTTGCGGGTGGCTGTGCCTACCGCCGAGATGCCGAAAACATTTAAGATACACCGATGTAATGACAAACTAGTTTTTTCAATGTCATTTCACGCGAACCACGAAAAAAACATTTTTCCCATCCTTCTGTACGGGTTGGTTGTCAAATTTTGTTGTCTACATCTATATTTGTATCTATATATATATCTAAATCTATTTCCATATCTATATCTATATCTATATTTAGATCTATATTTATATCCATATCTATACCATATACCATATCTATCGGTTTTTATCTCCATCAACCCTGTTACTCCAAACCCCCTATATGCCCCAAAGATAGCTCTCGCCATGGCCGCCAAATGTTTTCTGCAAGAATCATCAATCAAACATCTCAATTTTCTGCAAAGAAAAAATCACAGGCAAAAGACCCCAAACAGTGTGGGAGGTAGGAAGTCAATGTAGCACATACAAGCAACAATAGCTATGGAAAGGTAACAAATCATCGCAACTGCGGCAGCAGGAGCTTCTATATAGATCTCTATAGAAGATCTCACAAGATTTTCATACAAAAATCCCAACGGCGGCCGAGCATTTTTGAGATCAGTTTCTTCCTGCATGTAGTCGAAATGTGGTGTTTACCATATTTTTTGAAACATGTGTGTTTCCTTTTGTGTGGCAATTCTAATGGGATCCAAAAAAAATATTGCTTATTGTAGCGGGAGCATAAAAATGTCTGATTGTTGCTGACCTTCAAAAGAAAATACGTTTTTTAGTTTGATTTTGTGTTTCATTCACCACAGCGCCAGTATTTTTTTTCCTTCATGTCAACTTGCAGACAGTCTTAGATTTAGATGTAATATCGTAAACCCTCAGAATTCTGATCAATGCAGCACCATTACCAAGCTTGCACAAATACATAAGACGTGTCAAGTATAACATCCTGTCCGTGCACCAAATTACATAAGACGTGTCTAGCGTAACATCCTGTGCGCCCACCAAAGTACATAAGCCCTAGGCATCCCAAATACCTGCCGAGAAGGCATTTGAAATAGGTATACATGCTCAAGAACTATTTGGGTCCAAACACCTGCTGAGCAGGTCTTCGGGGGGAAACGTTTTTGTTTCGGCCACTGCAAGTCTATTTCAATTGGAATACAGATCTGTAACCTTCTTGTAGTGGTGTTGCCCTAGCTTCGGTTGAGGCACAAGTTGAAAAATTTTAATGTTTTTCAACAGTTTACCCGGGAGAACAAATAAAATATGATTCAAAATATTAAATGTCAGCAGGACCCCATGTGATATCTTGACTGCTCGAGTTTTGTCTTGATTAATACACTGCGCTGCAATATCCCTCAACCAACCCACAAAGTCAGTCCTTGCAGTCAAATATGTTATAAAA